AAGTGTTGGAAGCAAGTTGGACAGGAAAGCTGGGTTTCAGCCTCATACTGAACTGCAAATAGAGTCCAAAGAACTACACTGGATCCTCTTCCTCCTTTTTACCCTTTGATACAGAAAATCTAAGTTTCCATCCAGTGAGAAGAAGTCAAGTACTTTTGTCAATTAAAAATATCTCTGGGAGAGCCACCATAATTCAAATAGTATCTCCAGTGATGACCTGAAGAAGTTTCACTTCTTTATAAAGGCCCTCCAGAAGATTAGAGTAGCCAATTAGATCCAGGGATATCTTCAGTTATATGCAAACATTGCTCAAAGCTGTACTGTGATTTATTTGATGGTACTTTACTATGAGCTCAGCCTACTGTGAGCAACAAACCCGATTTAGCAAAACGTGTTAACCTGATATTAGATGGAAGAACAGGGATAGAATCAATCCTGATTCTAGAAAGGCCAAGCAAGTTTTCTGCTGCTTACTACTTTCCACCACTGCCATTTTCCAAAGCACCAGAAGGCAAAACAAGAAGCAATGGATGGAAACTAATAAAGGAAATAAGGAACCTAGAACTAAGGAGAAATTTTATAACAGTGCAATCAATTATCCAGTAGAACAGCTTGCCTTCAGATGTTGTAGGTGCTTCATCACTGGAGGTTTTAAAGAAAACACTGGACAGTCACTTGTCTGAAATGGTATAGGGTCTCCTGCTTGAGCAGGGGGTTGGACTAGAAGACCTCAAAGATCCCTTCCAGCTCTATTCTGATTGATGTGCAACTTCCTCCAGAATTAGCCACTATATTTTCACAATATTGAACCTGGCGCTTAGATGCTGTGACTGATTCTAATGTGTTTTTTCTTGGCGCCAACATGAAGAACAACAATAGGTAAATATAATTGGCTATATTTTGCTCTGTGTACAACTGCCTAGACACAGAGAAGCAAATAGCATTCTATATCATAAATACTTATACTTCGGTGTGTTTATGAAGGATGTAATAATGTCAATTACTAATTTAAGCATATAGCAACCTCATTTAGAGGTGCACCTTAAGATGGTCCAGAGGACAACACATTTTTCAAGCTATTTTCACCATCTATGAGATCAGCAGCTGGCTTTTAAAGCCTGGCAAGAAGCTAATCATCTTATTGCTCAGTCATTCATCTCCCTTGTTTGTTTGTTTGTTTTCACAGCCATCAAAATATTGCAAATTTCAAAAACTTAAAAGCAGATACTTGGAGACATTTTTATGAGCTTGGGGGGGGGGACGGGACCCTATTGTGCAACCTGAAAAGTCTAAACAATTGTTCTGGTATTCAAATGTTACTTTGAGGAACAACCCTCACGAACAATATGCTCTGTTTGCTTACCATTCCCACTCCTTCCAGGAACAGCTGAGCAAGATGGTTGTGTCCATGTTGATTAAACTGCAAAAATGGCTGTGTCCCTTTTGTACAAAAGGCAGCTTTTGTACAAGCTGTGCACGTTCACTTGAAAAGTAAAGATCAGTAAGAAGGGAAGGCAAAGGTCTTGGAGTTATTCACCAACAATACTTAGGCAGAAGACAGTACAGACACACACCTACACTCTTCATAGTTTTACACCAATTTCTATGTAAATGTGTGTCTCCTTTTGTACTCACATCATTCCTTGTTTTAGTAATGCATTCAATCCAATCCAATCTGATTGGTTGGCTTGGGATGCACTATTTCTGTCTGAGAGATGGAGCCACAACATATTTAAGCAGCAGCAGTCTGGAAGAGATTGATATAGATCAAGAGTTCCACCTTCAGGGACCACACCCCATGGATGACAAAACCTTTACAGTATTGAGTTTAAGGATTTTAAGTTCCAAGAAGGAAAGGGTCACCTAAGCCTTTGGAAGACTGGGAATTATGAATCTGAATTACAGTTTATTATGAATCAGGGCCGGAAACATGTAATAACTTCAAAGTCAATCAATATCTGGAAAGTTTGTCTTCTGATAGCTACACATTTTGTGAATAGTCTCCGTCTCCACGTTCCTCAACAATCCTTAAGATCATCCATGGCTGGTCTGCTCGATGGTCTACTAATATGCCTATCAGGTCCAAAAGATTATTTGCTGTAGCTGGATCTAACAAAATATTGATATATGCCACCAGAGCAGAGGTGGTATTCAACAGGTTCTGACCAGTTCTGGAGAACAGGTAGTGGAAATTTTGAGTAGTGCAGAGACCTGGCAAATGCCACTTCTGACTGGCCCCGCTCCCATCTATTCACAGGCTCCCGAATCCCAGCTGATTGGCTGGATCTTCTTTTGTTGCCCTGCACAGGAAAATGGAGCTGGAAAGCAGGCTAGCAGGGTGGGGAGAGAATGGGATTGTGCAGTATCCTTCCCCTGCCATGCCCACCAAGCCACACCCACCAAGCCATGCCAGGCCCACCAAGCCATGCCACACCCAGCCATGCCATGCCCATGCCACACCCACAGAACCAGTAGTAAAAAAAATTGAATCCCACCACTGCACCAGAGCCATGTTTTTTTAAATCACCTTCTCTCATTTATCACACTGGGACCTTTATAAAAAGTCAAGTTTGAGAGGAAATCTTTATTTTATCTTCTTTCTGAGCTATTCCATATGTCCTTTCTTTTGGTGGGGAAAGTTAGAGAGGACTCCGGCTCTCTACTGACATTTTGGGAAGACTGATTTTCTTTGGAATGGATGTGTTCTGCTTTTAGTTTTGATTGTTTTTAATCTATTTGTGGAATGTCATAGCTGTAAATGGGTAGCTTGTATTTTCCTCCCAGTTTCATGGCTATTTTTTTTAACAAAAGGAACACCCAGTAATGAAGCTTGGCTAAGTTGCTGAAATATTTGCCCTTTTCATTTGCTTCATTATATAGGTAGTCCTTTGACTTACAACCACAACTGAGCTCCAAATTTCTGTTGCTCAACAAGACAGTTATTAAGTGAATTTTGCCCCATGCCATTTCTTGCTACAGTTAAGTGAAACACTGAAGTTATTAACAAAGTTGTTAAGTGAATCTGGCTTCCCCATTGACTTTGCTTGTCAAAACGTCACAAAAGGTGATCACATGACCCCGGGACACAGCAAAGATTATAAATACATACGAGTTATCCAGTGTCTGAATTTTGACCACATTACTATGGAGGTGCTGCAATGGCTGTGTGAAAAATGGTTAAAAGTCACCTTTTTCAGTGCCACTGTATCTTTGAGCAATCACTAAACAAATAGTTGTAAGTTGAGGATTACCTGTACTGTGTGTGGGGGCAGATAATGGAGTATGAATCGGCCTACTCATTCTATGGTACAATAGTGGCCAAAAAGTACTCTGGAATTGTTTATTCTCAGCCAAGTGTGTCTGTGTCTGAGAATAAACAATTCCAGAGTACTTTTTGGCGGCCACACACACACCTTTTTATTTCACAATATTGATAGCTCATCTCAATCCTAACAAACTCTAGAGTACAAGAAGGTTTTACAAAATGCATTATAACATTTATAAATAGCAGTCAACAATAAAAACCCTCCTGTACAAGCAGCATCTTAAGAGACAAACACTTGCTGGAACAGTGTTGCTTTGGCCTGGTTTTGCATGGATATCTGAAGCCCCAGCTTTAATGTCACTGGCTACATTCCCATAACTTACTTAATAAATGAATTTTCTGTGTCTGTATACTCAACCAGGTGGCAGAACCTGGTCAGATTTGGCTGTTTCCAAATCACAGTGTAGCACTTAAATGTGGGACCACCACAGTAACCTCAGAGTTATAGGATATTAACTTGAGAAATAAACAAGGAAGGAAAAAAAGTCAATGGCAAGTATCTTATGCCCTGTTGAGACAAAATCTCCAGCCATGCATATTCATATCACTGAGACTCAGTCTTTAGTAATGCATTAAGCCAAATGAAATTGGGATTTACCTTAACTAAAATCAGTTTGCTGTGGGAATACATTTACTAAGCCTGGATTAAGTCTGTTGTGTGAACACTGCCATTATCAATAGGGCAAGTAATTGTCTCATCTTAAATTACCAGAACCCATTTCTTAGGTATCAAAATAGACCCACTCCGTGTCTGAATTGGATCTTGAGCTACAAATGCAGAACTATAAGATAGAATTTTTCCAAACTGCTGGAATTTTTTTTTTAAAGGACTGTATTATAATTCCTCCCTTTGATATTTAGTTTACCACCTTGCAAGAGATTTGAGCAAAGAAATCAGGTGATTTTATTCACTCACATCAGATTCTGTTGAGTTACAGACGAGAGAACTTCACTTTCAACTACCTGCAATTTCAGGAAGCACAGAGAGAAAGGAAAATCCGAATCCCTTTACCATCCATCTAGTAATCGTCTAGATTTGTGTAGCTCAGATCTGCCAGCCTTAGGAGATCCCAGCCGGCTTTGAGCAATTTTTGCAACAAACGTGTAACAAATGAAGTGCTACTGTAATGCTGAAGAGACTCGTTTCGGAAAAGTCTGATGTGAGCATGCGTACAGTGTAACCTTTAATTTAGAAACACAGTATTTATTATGATTAACGCTGTTTTACTCAAGCTTCTGAGAAACCGGGGGCTGCCCAACCACTTCTGGTTTTCTCCTCAGATGCCTTCGGTCTTCTTTTCTCCAGCCTAGCGCGACTTCTGTTCGACACCTTCCCTTCTCCAGCGTAAGGCACAGGAGGAGTTAAAAACTCTTTCCTTGTGCGGGGAGATTCCTTCCCTTCATTGTGACGTCAGTTCGTTGGCCACGCCCCTTCGGAGCCGTTCATACAAGATGGTGGATTTTTCTCTCTGACAGGTAGGAAGGGGGAGGGGGGAGAGTTGGTCCTTCTTTTACATTTTCTTTCATTCCGCTCGCCTGGTTCGGCTCCACCCCTCGGTGGTAGACCAGTGGGCGGGTAAACGGCTGGAGCGTGCCTCTTCGGTCATGTACAATGGTTTCCCCCGTGTCATTCTGGACTAAGGTAAGTCGGGTTCGCCCCCTTCTCTCTCCCCCCCGCCTCCGAGTTATGGTATCTTCCCGTGTAAGTAGGAGCCCTGATACGAACTGGAGGTGCTTCAGTTCACTCCGTCGGTCCCTTTCCCAGCGCCTCTGATGGACCCCCGCCCATTCCTCGCCTTAGGATCGCTTTTGTGGGCGGGGGAATCTGTTGTACATGCCCCGGAGGCCCTTTTCCCGTTAGCCGAAGGAGCTTCTCGGGCTTGAGCAGGTGAACGGTGGGGGGGGGGCGCTTCCTGGGTTCGGTTGCATTTGGGGGAACGGGGTCGAGCAAGCCGCGCTGGAAAAGGGGTGGCGGGTCATGGGCCAGCAGTTCGAGCCAAGAGTCCAAACGATCCGCTGGTAAACTAGCCTCCGTACCTCGGGAATGCTGCCGAACCGGCCTGGATTTGGCCTGCGGCTCTGGTTCCATTTACAGGTCGGTGGATTTTTCTCTTCCGCAAATCTTCCCCGCCCACCTTGTCGTGGATTCCTTTCCCTAAAAGTCAGTCTGAGCCTCAACTGTAGAACCAAGAGAGCCCGGACAAGTCTCCTGCAGGGTTCCCTCCGTCTCAGGATGGAGATGCCTTAGATTTTTTTTTTAAAAAAAAAGACAACAGCTGCCCCGGAGGTATCTTCCTGCTCCTGCTTTTGCCCGTCAAAGAAGTGCTAGTTTGAAGAATTTCCGCTTAGTGGGGAAAGTAAGCAGAACAGTCCCTTGTACCTGCTAAGAAGGTACAAGGCAGGACCTTTGGTTAAATGTGGCCCCAAGACAATTTGATGAAGAGTAGAAGTCCTCGTGGTGCTTCTGTCAGTCAGTGGGGCCCTGTTCTATATCAAGGGTCTTCAAACTTGACAAGTTTAAGACTTGTGGACTTCAACTCCCAGAATTCCTCAGCTAACATGACTGGAGGAGGAATTCTGGGAGTTGAAGTCCACAAGTCTTACAGCTGTCAAGTTTGAAGACCCCTGTTCTAGATTATTATTTTTTTCTACCGTTTAAATGGTACTCTAGTCCAAACAAGGCTCTAAGTGCCTTAAATGTTAATGCAAACATTTGAATAGAAATAACAGCCAACAAATAGCAGAACAAAGTATCAGGACCAAAGATGCAGTCAATAACTTCCAGCCCTATAGCAGGGAGAAGCCTTCTCATACCGAATCTATTTCTCAAATGCTTTTGAATAACCAGGTTTTAATGGCTATCCAAAACACAATAGTTTTGCTAGGCCAGTTTTCTTGCAGTGAGGAACATGTGCTTGAGGGCATTTCAGTATGCGTGAATAGTTAGTTGGAATTGAGCTTTCATGGAGCTTTCACTGAGTCAGCTGCTTGCTTTGCTTGGGCAACTAGAACTTTTAAGAAATGTATTTCTCACGGTAAAAAATGCTGAGAAAGAAGCCCCTAATTTGAGAAATAAAATATAGGTCCAAAATTCTGCAAGGTTAAAAATACAAACGGCATCCGTGGAAGCAAAATGAAAATGGCTTCTTCTAATTGGACTGTGTTTAGAGAGTGAGTGACATCAAAGGATTTGGTTGCTTAGATTTCATACTTGCCCTCAAACAAGTGGATATTCATTTGATGTTTGGTTGGAGAAAAAGAAGATATCTGTGTGGATCAACAGTATTCTATTAGTATATCTACTGAGAAGGATTGAGAAGATAAAATAAAAACCAGTGATTAATCAATCAGCAAGTGAGTTTAACTTAGGCTGCTATTCTGTTTGCAGTATCTGCATTTCAACACTGAAGAGATCTTTGTGAACGATCTTACCTTCACTCCAGCTCTTGTTTCCTTTTAATAAGGAAAAAAAATGGTACAAAGATCTGCCTCCACTCCAGACACAGCTGTGTCTAAGCAAGAGACTTGGCTTGATTGACAGGTGCAGTGCAACTTTGCTCTTTTCTGCTATCAGATATGAAATATTGGGGTATATCTGAAATCTGCAAGGCTGTTTCTCCCTTGGCATTCAAGACAATGCAAAGGAGGTCTGATGGACTCCTTTGCTTTTAAATTGGGGTGAAAAATCTGTAACTTTCCAGATGGGTTTCCAATATCTCTTAACTTTGAGGATACCCATGGGGAATGTAAGAGTTGATAACTGCAAGTTATCAGGTTGCAGAATTGTTTCCTTTTTGATGAATATGCTTAGGATCTTTATTTTGCATTGAGGATGGATTTTGTAAACTAAATTGATTGTAAACTTCCCTTAATTGGTTTTAATAGAAAAAAAAAGATTGTGATTATCGATTACAAACAGATTGAAGAAGAGCTACTAAAGGGACATTTATCCTATAGCCAGTTTCCTCTCAATTTGGGTGAGTCTTGTAATTACCCTTTCCATTCACTTGCCTTGTCTTGCTTTTCTACTTTGAGGTAGTAATTTGCTGCTTATAATGCCTATGATTAACATGGACTTGAGTGACAAAACTGCTCATTTGTTTCTTCTTATGGATATGCCTCCCACGTCATTAGAGAACGATTTAACAGCAGAAAATTTTCATCTAGTGAAAGCAGCTACTGAGAGTTAGGCTTTAACCAGGAACAAGTCCCTAGAGCTGATGCAAATTAATTGCTGACAGAAAACTCTTGCATAAAGAATAGCGGGGACATTGCATTTACCCCTGAGAGTCTAATTTTGTGACCTGAGATAGAATTAATCCTCATTTATTTCTTTATGCTGCTCCCTATGGACCAGTTTGAGTGCAAGTGAGCTATAAATATGGTAAACGTGTATATAAAGAGCAATATATGTATGCACACACATCATAAATTTAATACACAGAAATACAGAGTCTACTGCAATTGAAATTTGAAGTTCTCTGTGCTGAGGAGCAATTTCTACTTGGAATTTGAGTAGTGGTTGTAGCAGGGTATATCTTTATTTTACCAAAGCTGCTTACAGTCTGACTATGTTGCTGTCTCCTTGTTATCTTTATATATATGCTATTCAAGCTCTCCATTCTATACATCTGTGTGACCACCCACAACATTTTCTCCTAGAGGAAAACAATATCAATTAAACACTGTCAGTTTATCACACAATTGTTAATGTGCTGGGGGTGACCTCAGAGCCATTATTCTCCCATTTAATCAGGCAAACCACAAATGGATCTTGATAGATAGGCTTTCCTAATGTGCTGTATGGCCTCCTCCCCCAACTCCAGTTCCTTTCAGCCTTAGCTGGCATGGTTAGTGATGATAAGAGATGTAATCAAAGGTCTGGAGCAGGGGTGTCAAACTCACATCGTCATGGAGGTGTCGTGATGTATCAGGACTTCCCCCTCTTTCATTAAACTGGTCATGGGCATAGCCAGCACCTGAGGCATCCAACCCATGGTCCAGGAGTTTGACAGCCCTGATCTGGAGGGTAAAAGAAAGGGACTTATGAATTAAAGGATCGGTTGTCTTGTAAAAGTAGATCAATACTTAGTGAGGTAGTAGTTTAGTAGACCAGTTTGTATAACATGCAATCTCTTTATGCAAGAGGATTTGACTTCTCTGACATCTGTCATATTCAAATGTGCAATTTGTCAATACTTATAGACTAGTCCTAAAAAATTTTGTGAAGCTTCTTCCCATTGTTCCTTGGGGATGAGAAATTACTAATAGCACAGAGGAACTGATTGATCTAGACCAGGGATGTCAACTCAGGTTGTCACGGTGGTGTCACGTGACATATCGGGACTTTCCCTCACCCTTCACTAAACCTGGCAGGGGTGGGCCCAGCACGTGATGCATCTAGCCAGTAGGCCTCGAGTTTGACACCCCTGACCTAGATTGTCTCTTGTTCTACCACAGCTGCAGACGTTCTGTCTATACAGGTAGTGTTTGACTTATGACTGTAATGGAACCATCCCATTATGGTCATCGGTCATAACAGTCATGACGTGGGTCACCCAACCAATTTTATGATCTTCTTTGCAGCCATGACTCCCACAGTTGTAAAGCAAGCCCATTATTCGTTATGGGTTGTCTTTGCTGAAAACTGGACATAAATAACAGTTGTTGGCAAAAACATAAAACATGGTCATATGACTGCAAAATGCCACAAACCGCTATAAATGCAGGCCAGTTGCTGAGCGCCTGACCTGCAGTCACATGACTATGGTGGAGGGTTTAAACTTTGGAACTGGGTCTTGTACCTGTAGAGGAGGTCCTTTGTAACTTTGAATGGTCATGAAGTTACCGGTCATAAGCAGAGGACTATTTTAATTGCTGTGTGTAAAGACTTCCAAGTACATGGAAGTCTCTTGGTCCCTGGCATGATATCCGGGGGCAAGTATTCCTTCAGATACACTGTATTCCTTAGCTACTGCCCAACCTAATTTATAAGGATGATTCTAACATACTTTCAACTTTCCAAATGACCTCACAAACATTTATGGATTTGGGACTATAAAGGAAGGGGATGACAGAAAAAGAGAGGAGGAGAAAGAGTAAGATGGTAACTGCTTGGTGAAAAGGACAGAAGTCATAATTCTTTTTTTTTTGTTCTGTTGATTCTTTAGTTTTTAAACATTCTAATAAATTTAAAATAAATTCCAAATGTCCTCACAGTCCCAAAACAATTGGAGGCCCTTACACTACATCTCAACATCAATAAACCATAAGTGTCTGTGAAGAGCAGACCAGAAGAGATCCTTTAGCTGATACTGCTGAGTGGTACATCTACATTCATAACAATGGGGCAGCACTCCCTAATTTTTAAAGCATATCCTCATAATAGTAATTTAAAACTCATTCTGATGTGATGAATATTCATTGAATATGTCAATTAGGGAGCGTAAGGGCATCAACTGCTGCATTACATTTACTCAGATTATCGATTCATCCAGCTCAGTCTACACTGATTTATGGGGTTTTCAGAAAAAATTAGTCTCCAACTTTATCTGGAAAGAACAAGCACTATGTCTTAGTAAAGAGGTCTCCAAACTTGGCAACTTTAAGACTTGTGGACTTCAACTCTCAGAATTCTCCAGCCAGCATAGCTGGAGAATTCTGAGAGTTGAAGTCCACAAGTCTTAAAGTTGCCAAGTTTGGAGAACTCTGTCTTAGTCTATTTGGAATTATTAACATCTGACTATACAATGATAATTCTCTTTGAAGCGTCCGTTATCCATAAAAAAGTTTGAAATGCTTCCTGATTTGTCTCTTAGCTGACCAGAGGTAACAAGGCAGAAACCTCACTGGTGAAGAGGTTGAGATATGCACTGCCTTCTCTCTTCTCTGGTCTTTATGATCTCCATTCTCCACAGGAATGGGAGGAATGTATAATAATACTTCAGTCAAATTTCCTGTTGGATGGTTTACTTGTGGTTTTGCTCCAGATGTGGTTCAGTTATCCCATATGTGTGTGTGCCTATTTATGAAACTGGGATTGAGATTAAAACAAGTTTTATTTGATTTGGCTCTTTCAATCAAGAAGGCGCAAACAAATTATTGCCAGCCGGAGAGATTAGACATGTTCTGTAGTATTGTAGGTCATGCACACAGGTGAAAGCGTGTCTCCAATATCCATTTGGGTCTGTTGTCTTTTTTTCTCCCTCAGAACTACCCGCATGAGGCGCAACCTACACTCCTCCGACTCTCTCTCCAATGGCTTCTCCTCACCTTCTCCAGATCAAGACCCTTCAAATGGGGGTATCAGTGAGGACATCCTACCTTTCTCGGGTAGCCTGACAACGGTGATTGCTTCTTGCAGGAAAAAATTAGGAAGGAGGGCCATGGCTGAGAATCGGGGCACTATTAAGGTGGATCTTCCCAACCAACAGCGAACAGTGGTGAGTTGGCCATTCAGACAGCTCTAAAGAGCAAAGGATCTGGTGCTTCCTGTTAGTTAAAATGCTTGGTTTCCTGTAAGGGAGGGATACAGATCCTCTCACTTTCCAGCTGTTTTGGACTACAACTTCCATTCTCTCTGGCCTGGCTCGCTGGGAATGATGGAGTCCAACAACAATTGGGAGTCTCAGGTTTTCTATGTCTGCATGAAAATGATGAGTTGTGCCCTCTCTCCCCCTCATCAAAAGTGGGTCCCCACTCTTTTTATGTTTGTTTACCTTTTTTAAGGAAAGGAAAAAATATGAAGGTAGAGAATGAGAGAATAGCAGACAGAAAGGGAAAGAAGGAAAATCTCAAAGAGGAAGAGTGAAAGAGACAAAGGAGGACATATGTGGTAATAAATATATGTAGAACCTATTGTTTGCAAGTTAGAATTGAAAGTAAATCTTGCTGGTTTCTTTTATAATGAATCAATTGCTTTGTTCTGGTTTTTTTTTTTTTTTGAAAATCAGCTTTTGTTTAATTTTATGATAGTTCTAAAACAACGGCAGTTTATTTTTGTTATTCGTAATCAGTTTAAAATTTAGAAAAATAAGCTCTTAAGTAATTCTAATGAATGCTGAACCAGACTCAACACAAGGATGATTACATTTTTATGTGTATTGAAAGGGAACTGAGGTTGCTTTTATTGGATAGGGAGACAGAAGAGTTCCCAATCCCATCACAATGAAACCTGGACCAAAATTAGTATAAAATTTGCTAAAATTTCAAGCTGTGAGTTTTGCCTTTGAAATTTCATTTTAAAATTTGATCAAGTGTGGGTTCTGGTTAGTCATCTGAACTTGAGTAGGAGCTCTTCTAGTCACAACCTGCTGATCAGGCAGAATTCATTGGTGCTGGAGGATACTCACATCATAGACATTCTTCAAGCAAAATGCAAACAAGCTCAACATAAGAGCCACGATCAAGCCAGAGTAACTGTAAACAAACTGTGTCTCCATCCTGTTAGGATTCAATTTCTGCTTGCTTAGGCTCATGCACAACCTTTCCAAACATCAGCTAAGGATCTCCATTACATCTGTGACTTAATCTAGGCTGGAGATTTATAAGTGTCATTTTTGGGGGGCCTGCACAGAAAAAAAAACTTGATAAGAGCAGCTTTGTTACACCCCACCCACACCTAATCCTACCAATTTCCTCCTTGTTCAACTTTAATCTTCAGAATCCATAGTGGCTAAGGTGTCCAGGTAGAAACTGGGAGGCCATAAGTTCTAGTCTTCCCATAGGCATGAAAGCTGGCTTGGTGACTTTGGTCCAATCACTGGATCTTAGCCCAACCTTCCAAAATGATGGGTGACTTCTGATAGAGATGTTAAATAACATGGAGCAGATAGCTGGGCCTTGTGTAGCCACTCCTCCCTCTTAATTACTATGTGGAACTATGTGCTCAGAATTGTGTGGAACCACTATAAAACTGTCTTCCACTTTCAAACCATGCCAAGAAGGCAGTCCAAGAATACACCATGATTAGTGGCAGTGAATACTGCCAAGAGGTCGGATAAGATCAGGAAGGCCACCATTTCTCTATATGAGTCTTTCTTTGCTGCAATTATGTACCATTGCAATCAATGTACAATAGTTTCCATCTTATTCAGATCTGAATCCTAACAGAAAGATAATCCAATTCCTATAGGATCCTTTGCAACTGTTGGCCTAATCAATGTATTAGTCATTATGTGCCAGGATTCTCTCCTGCTTCAGTGAACCATGATGGATTTCATTTTAGCAGCATTATTTAGGGTTGTGGTTTCTACTCTTGTTCAGATGACCAGTAGGCTGAGATCTATATTGTAGGGATCAAGGAACAGGAGATAGAGTTTAAAACCCAGATAGAACCTCAATGGGAAATAGGAATCGAAGGATCAATTTGACAACATGACCCTACACGCTACCTTGTTCACATGACTACTCTGCTGCTTCCTTCTAGGTCACTGTCCGGCCAGGTATGACTGTATATGACTCCCTAGACAAGGCCCTGAAAGTGCGTGGACTTAACCAGGACTGCTGTGTTGTTTACAGAAAAAGGAGTGATGGGTAAGTAATTCCAATGAGGAAGTTGATATGAGAAGGAATTGGAGGAAACATGAGCAGAGCTAGTTGTGTATAGACCAAAAAGCTGCCTCCTGCCACTTGGGCAGATCATCTTCAGTATGTTTCACTCTCTGGTTTTTGCAAGCATTCCTCATATAAGTAGCATAAATAAATATCTAGAAACAAATTCCAAACAAACTCAAAACTCCAAATAAATCTTACACTCCAAAGTTTTACATGTTTTCACAAGGAATTACTCACTGGACCAAATGTCTGCATACTGGTAGCAACTCCATCTTCAGCTGTCATTAATTAGGACATGAGATTCTGGTTTGTAGTTGTAAAGAGAAAGGAAGAGAACAGTCCACTCACAAAAGTATGAAGGCTGGTCAGTTCTGAGGCTCAGACTGATAAATCTGGAATTTGGCCCCAATTTTTAGAGTAAAGAAGGGTTGCCTTGCATCTTTCTTTCCAATTAGCCTATTTGCCCTGTTCCTATTTCACACAATCTTTCCTCACAGCCCACTTTCTTTCATTTAGGAAAACTTCTCCTTCAATCAAAGGCACATTTGCTCTCCAGACATATGTGAGATTTTAATTTCATCTAATCTGACAATTTCCCCTTCTGTCCCAGCATTCATGTGCCGACATTTGGCATGTTTTGTTTTCCTAAGTTGTGTAATATTTGTCAGTATTCCATAGTAAGGTCAGAGCTTCATTCTCATCCTTCCTATTACCTATCATCTTTCTACTTATGACTATAACCTTCTTGCTTGTATCTTTATGATTTATATTGTTTTATTTAGTTTCCTAGTATAATTTTGATTGCTTTTTTAGTATCCTATGACTATCACCAAGTGTTATATCTTATGATTCTCGATGAATGTATTTTTTATGTACAAAGAGCTTATGCCCCGAAGACAAATTCCTTGTTTGTCCAATCACACTTGGCCAATAAATAATTCTATTCTATTTTGAAAAAGCAGATAGAGTGGAGAATAATTAGGGGGCACAAAAGTAGAAAAAGGGCTATAGTATTGTTGAAAAAAGATCCTTATTTCCTCACTGCCTGTTGAAGGTTGTTAACCATTAAGTTTTGCTGTGGCGTGGTAATATTTCAGGATTTTATATTTTGGTTTTCCAAATCTGCAACCTTAATATTAGAGATCTACATGGAACTTACCTACATGTGAACACATTTTAAATTGGTCTTTCTAAAATGGGTAATGTTGCCCCTTGATTTCATGAATTGGAAGCAATGTTAGATTCGTAGGCTTGGGGTCACCAAGTTAGATGGTGCTTAGTATCTTGTTTCTATTTTCTTCTATGCAGGCGAAAAACTATCACAGATTGGGAGACAGACTTGGTCAATCTGGAAGGGACTGAGCTTTCTGTAGAAGTTCTGGAGAATGTACCTCTTACTATGCACAATTTTGTGAGTCCTGCAAAACTCTGCAAAATCATACTACTATTCTTGTGTGCTATAGTTCTTTTCCAGGCTAATGTGTAAAATGAATGGGGGATCTGCAGACCTGCAGATATTCTTGGACCAAAGTCTCCCTCACTGATGATTGTGTGTCTTATTGGCTGGCCAGGAGTGATGAACGTGGGAGACCAGCAACATGGCTGGAGGTTTCCCATCTTATAAAAATGCTTTAATTTTCTCTGTCCCCGAGATCAGCTACAGCAACTCAAAGGTCCTGTGCTGTTCTGCTGTTCAGCAAAATCACTGGATTCTATTACCAGAGCCTAGAGCATGAAAGACTTTGATAGCCTGAACTGATTTGTTTCTGAATTGATATGACTTTGGATAATTTTTCCAAATCTCATCAGATAACCTCACTGTCTACTGTTGACCATCAGGCAGATAACCAAACCTTCCTCCTCCATTTTTCCTCTCATATTCCTAATCCATTTCTTTGTACAGGTCCGCAAGACCTATTTCAATTTGGCCTTTTGCGATTTCTGCCTTAAATTCATGTTCCATGGCTTTCGATGTCAAACATGTGGCTACAAGTTCCATGAACATTGCAGTAGCAAAGTGCCTACAGTATGCGTGGACCTGGCTACAACTCACAAACCGTGAGTATCCCTCCCTTTCACCTGTTGTGAAGATCAGCCCATAAAAAATTGGTCTCATTGGTTTGGTATTGAAGACAATTTTTCTCCCTTGTAGTGTTTACAGCCATGAATTGTGTCAAGACAATATCCTCACAACCCTTATCCAGCCTAGCTACAAACCCATGACCCCTCAAGCAGTCAGGTAAGATACTTGTTCATTGGACAGCTGCATTGGGACAGGTGAACTAGAATTTTCTACCAGGGAGTACTATGAAGCCAGAGAGAACAATGCTTAATTTGTACTCCACTAGTAATGTCAACATATGTTAGGACAGCAGCAGAGCCATTAGCAATCCTTTGGAGTCATTATACCGACACATCTGGAAATTATCCAGATAAAAAGACAAGCACTACCAGGGGACTGTAGATAATTGCAAGGGGGAGGCACATGTTAATCCATAACCATATTTGTTCTGTTGCATTAAGTGTTCATACAAATAAAACTGGAGAAGAACTCACATTATGAATAACTCTAATCTTAATACTTAAGAATTTTCATTTAGAAAGTGAAAACTCTTATCCTCCTTTTGCTTTGTAGCTCACCCATCAATCAAGATGCCTTCAATTTCCCCAGCCTTCATAGTGATGGGCGTCTACAACGACACCGCTCAACTTCTACCCCTAACGTCTATATGATCAGCACCACTAGCCCTGTGGACAGCAGCATCCTTGAGGTGAGACCATCTGAACCTGGCGCATGCGCTCCTTTCTAAAATGCTTCTCTTTCTCAGTTATTTTTGCCTGCTAAGTGTCACCTAGACACTAGTATCCATATGGCTTTGCAGCAAATATGGAATCCAGGGACTGGTCTTAGTGAGCTAACATCTATTGGTCAAAATTAGCCTAGATATGACAACATGCAAGTTTTGCAGCATTATTTATAGGTTAATCTCTTCAGGATATTTGGTACATTTTAAAATATCTTAAAATGTATCTGGAGAGTTAAGAGATCATAGGTCTCAAAAAGACAGTAGGCCTGTAAACTAGATTTCTTATTCTGACATGTGGTTTGGGGTCCTTTTTACTGATTCACAGCCTCTGAAAGGCAAATCTAAAACTTAATTATTCTGATCTAGTTTAATTCACTAGATTTTGCATTTGTCTTTTTTTTTTAAAAAAAAAAGATACTTGAGTTCAGTTTTTTTTTTTAAAGCAACATGAGCTGTTATCTTTCAGCCTATAGGTAGATTCTGTTTTGGTGAAATGTTTCACCATATATTTCCTAGAAAATTAGATGTGGGAAATCAGGATTTCAAATTCATTGGGGGAATCCATAATACTCTACTTTTTATGTGAGAAGATCCTTTACCCAGTCCAACTTTCTCGGGGGATGGGCTCGAACAGAGAAGTATTCACAGAGGAAGATTCTGAAATTGTATTGTATCAAATCGTCCCATCTTTTTACTGTCATGGTCAAGGCCTTATGCTTTGAAGAAAAAGCGATATCAAGGTACAAGCAAGCAACCTGTGTTGAGAATCCAGTTCTATTTAGACAGCTACTGAGCACAGAGTCTTCCTTTTCCTTTTCCAGGTCATATCCAGGAACCACAACACAGATGGTGAGTTTTTCAACTAGTAATTGAAGGGGGTGCCTTGTGAGTGTTTGAGTGTTCTGTATGAAGTGCTGCACTATATTGTAGGGACCAAGTGTCAGGTAGCAGGGGTAATGATCTCTGAGAATGAGTGACAGTCAGTGTCATGCAACAGCAGATGCACCAGAGCTGCAGAGTCTAAATACTAACATGATCAGATTGTTTTTGATGAGAAAGACTGATGGGGATCCAGATAATTTATCACCACAATGAGTGGTTCTCCACCTGTTGGGTTGCAAGCCATCATCACTTCTGGCCATTAGCTGTGCTAGCAGGAACCATTAAGGCTTGGAGTCCAGTAGTATCTGAACAGCCTATATTCCACTCCTCTGCAGTCTGCAATGATTCATGTGATTCTTTTCAAAAGCCAGTTTAAAATCAAGCTTCCAGTTATAGAAAGATGCAGAAGTCTATTGTAATATGCAATCTAATGTTGTATTAATATTTGCCCACTTTTCTAAATTACTAATTAATGGGCAGGTGAGACAATCTGTTAATTAGACTTAAAATATGTTGGCTTCACTGATGTTTGTGGTTGTATTCTATTTTATCAAGTCTGGTTTTAATTTGTAGCCTTATATTTCAAATGTGTTGATACTGGATAAATCCTGGCTGACAATTTATGTGAAATGAGTTCCATAAATTAATTGTGCAGTATGTGAAGAAACCATGTCCTTTCATTACTACAGATACTGATATCAGTCCAGTTCCTGAAATGATTGCAAACTCTGTTTGAGATGGACAAATTTTGATTTTCCAATCTGTGCTTTCTGTGAATTATTTTACATATTCCTTGATTTTTAGTTAACTTTTGTAATAGTTGTAAATTTCTTAAGGTCGTTTGAAGGGGTTGTGTAGGAGGGGGTAAAATCCCTCTTTTCCTCTTGCCACAGCAGTGAGCGGGCCTGAGTTGTTTCCTAACACCTCACCAGTCCCCTCAGTTGCCGTTTCTCCCGGTCGACGTTCTCCACACCCCAAATCCCCAGGCGAGTCTCCAAGAGAGCGCAAGGTGCCTTCTGAAGACAAGAAGAAGCCTGTGAGTATTGAGGTGGGAAAGTAGGTAATTTGGCATGTGGCTCTTGATTGGATATTTCAAAATGGTAGCCACAAGAAATGATGGTATCTGTACTATTAAGCATAGTACCAGGGAAGAGGAATGGCTGAGATGTTAGGGTAGATTAAGAGGTGCTAGAGGGTTGATAGCAAGGGGTAATAAGTGGAACAGTGTTCCATTGTGGTGATAGCCAACACTATGACTGCGAACATTTTGTCTTTCTCTTTGGCTCCTCTTCCTTGGTGTCACCTTGCTTCTTATAGAAAACTTTGGGCTATCGGGACTCAAGCTACTACTGGGAGGTTTCCCCGAATGAGGTCACTTTGCAGAAACGCATTGGGGCTGGATCCTTCGGCACTGTTTTCAAAGGCCGCTGGCATGGGGACGTGGCAGTCAAGATCCTCAAGGTCACCAACCCCACCAGTGAGCAAGTGCAGGCCTTCAAGAATGAGATGCAGGTGCTTAGGTAGGCCAAGTATGTGCATGCATGACCTGGCAGCCATGTTGGGGAAGGCTGATTTAAAGGCCAATCCTGGAGACTTTGCCCAGGAAATCTTTGACTCCATTCCTACTTTTCAGGAAGACGCGTCATGTCAACATACTGCTCTTTATGGGGTTCATGACTCGACCCAGTTTTGCCATCATCACCCAGTGGTGTGAAGGCAGCAGCCTTTATCAGCATTTGCATGTGCAGGAAACACCCCTAGAGATGGTGCAACGGATTGATGTGGCCCGACAGACAGCACAGGGCATGGAGTAAGTGCAGAGCCATCAAGTCCTAAGGCAGCATGTTTTGAAGAGCAATTGCAAAGGAAGAAAGCGGACTATGAACAATGTTCCTGGTTGGGGTCTACTCGGAACCTCTCGGCTAACTGAGGTGGAAACCTAATAATCCACAGGGTTTTTAGCAATAATAAATGATATATGTATTTAGAACACATCTTTCAACAAACAACACTTTAAATAATCTCTTGTGATAGTACTATAAAAGTATAACCAACCAATAAAAAGACCAGCAATTTACAATCATTAAAAGAGCAGAGCTAATTAAATATGCTATACCAAAATCGCCAGTGCAACAACAACCCCAGTTAAGGAATGTAAGAACTCTGGCAGACCAGGTTTAGGATTTTTTTTTTTTTGAGATCATCTGACTTCCAGAACCAACATTAGTTTTGCCCCCATATTGTCTGCAACACTTTTTCTCAAGCAAGCATCTCAAGCATCTTCCAGTTGCTTTGGGGCTGCAATTCCCAGAATAGTGTCAGGGTTCCAAGTAATACTCCAATAGCAAACAGAACTCCGAGGCAAGCGGATTCCTCCAAGAATAGCTTTATTGGATAAACCATATTGGTTCTGGTGGAAACCGACTCTGAAGGTTCCTGCGGTTTTCACCTAATTAAAAGTAAATGTTTTTCACCTTCCCCAAATAGTCATATGGTCCAATCAAGGTGCCGTCCGGTCGCCTGGTAACATCACTCTTCCTCTCTCTGGCTAGGTGTTAGAATGTCCTTCATTCCCAGAGGGAAGTATTTTATTTTGGGTACAAAACCCCAGCTATCTCGATTCCCCTCTCCCTACCCCTTCGCTCCAGTGTGGCAACACTGAAGCCTCAAAATGGCTGCCATTAGGTCAGCTTCAGGGATGACAAATATCTAGGTTGAGGAACAATATTCCTGGCATGACAGGCACAGCATAGAGAATCAGCACCTGGGCTGTAGGCTTATGTTGAACTCTACAACATCCAACCAACTGTAGGCAGAGGTCATAAGATTCCACTGGGTTTATAATAAGTATCAGAGATGTAGAAGTGATTATAAGTAGTCCTTAGGTTTCAACAGCAGATCAGAATTGCTAGTACTAAAGAGTCCGTTATAAAGTGTGATTTCACATGACCACATCACCTAGTAATGGCAATGGCAGCAGTCCTGTTGTCCTTGTGTCAGACTGTGACTTCTGACTTCCTGTCAGTATTCCCTTGATTTTGTTTGTGGGAAGCTAGCAGGGAATATCGGAAATTGTGGTCATGTGACTGTGGTTCACTACAACAACATCGTGAGCCTGGCACCAAGCATCCAGATTCAGTCCCATGACCACTGGGACCTTGTAATGGCTGGAATGCTGAGGACCCATCACCAGGACCCTTTGTCTAGCACTGCCCCAAATTTAAACAGTTTTTGAATGAGAGGTAATAACCTGAGAACCACGTGTATGTTCATGGGATCTGAGCTCTGAGAAATGGATCTAATGCAACAGAAATGGTCCTGTGGTGAATGTAAAGATGCCTGAATCAGAAAAATTAAGCAAAATAATTACTCCATGAAATGTATGCCCAATATACATGCAGGCAGGCAGACCGAAGGCACACCTATGAATGATGATGTAAAGAAAAGATGGTAAGATAAGAACCATGGTAGTACAGTGGTTAGAATGCAGTATTGCAGGCTACTTCTGCTGACTGCCAGCAGCCAGCAGTTTGGCAATTCGAGTCTCAATGGCTCCAGGTTGACTCATCTTTCCATCCTTGTGAGGTCAATAAAATTAGGACCCAGATTGTTGAGGGCAATGTGCTGACTCTCTAAACTGCTTAGAGAGGACTATAAAGCACTGTGGAGCAATATATAAGTCTAAATTCTATTGCTATAACTCATTGTCTCTTTCCCCCCAGTTATCTCCATGCTAAGAACATAATCCACCGGGACCTCAAATCTAATAGTATCCTTCTCTTGCATCTGTTCCGTCTTGGGTGGGAATCCTTTTTTAAAGAAAACCTGAGTGATTTAGTTACCTAACAGCCAGCATGTCAGAGTAGGAAAAAAAAAGAAGGTTTGTACTACATTGTTGAAGCTCCTAAACTGTAAGTATTTCCAAGATACTGCATGAGGTAAAAGTGAGACTTTGGGGAACTGAGGTCAGGAATAGATAACTGGTGCTTCTTGTTGGACAAGTGATTAACAACTCAGGCCAAGATTGAAGTCCTTTCACTTAACTGCTGCCAGATATCTTCCTGCATGAAGGCTTGACAGTGAAGATTGGTGACTTTGGCCTTGCCACAGTGAAGACACGTTGGAGTGGCTCACAGCAAGTGGAACAACCCAGTGGTTCCATTCTCTGGATGGTGTGTATGTTGGGAGGCAAAACTTTGAAAACAGGCCAGGGCTGGGAGAGAGGAAAAGAGATAGGTAGCAGGAAACAGACAGCATCTGTCTGGAAATCTGCACATCTGAACGCCTTTCTACTGGACTCCCTCAGGCATCAGAAGTGATTCGAATGCAGGATCCCAATCCTTACAGCTTCCAGTCAGATGTCTACTCCTATGGAGTCGTCCTCTATGAGCTGCTCTCCGGGACTCTTCCATATAGTCATATCAACAACCGGGACCAGGTAAGGAAGGAAGGGAATACTGGGTTCAGCCGCATCCTGTGTCCTAACTCTTTTCCCAAATGGTCTTCACCGGCTATTTAATGCAGTCAACAGAAGGGGCTCAAGTGATTCTCAAAGTAGCCAAGGTCTTCGCTAGGTCTCTTCATCTTCTGCCTGTGGTCTGATCTCCCTCTGAAGTGTTCTTCAAGGAGAGGCCCTATCTTATTCAGATAGTCCCCCTTTTTATTAGAAAGTTCATGTTCAAAATTAGGCATTATTCAGCCCAAAACCAGAAACACACCTGGAAAATTCCTCCGTTGTCTTTCTTTGGGGCACGGAGTGGAATGCTGCCAACTCTTCCATTCACGTTTTCCTCTCTACTAGTCATGTGATCCAGAGTGGAGCTATTGGGGGTGGGGGTGGGGACTTGGAAATAATTGTTGTGGTTCACTGGCAGCCGATGCAGATGGCAGCGGACTCGGACAGTGAGGAAAAAAGGGGACCCGTCAGGGAATCTGGAGAGGATTTGGACGAGGGTCCTGCATCCGATGCAGGGATGGGGCCAGGACCATCTGGGAGTGGAGTGCTGCCTTTGGAGACTTCAGAGCCTGGCAGCAGTGAAGCAGAGGACCCAGGGGAACCTGTTCCTAGTGCGCATGTGAGCAGGGCTGCTAGAAGGAGAGAGCAGCTGAAACAGAAGGGGTGACTTGGGAGTAAGGCTGGGAGGTGATGGCCCCACCCATAAGGGATAAAAGTCAGGCCTCGGTGATGAAATCTTTGCAGGAAGCAAAGTAGTGCGATAGATTCTGAATCCTCCTCGAGGCTCTCTGTACTCTGGTTGTTTTTTTCTGGTACTTCGGTTGGTTTCTGTTATAATTAATCGGATACTTCTGTTTTTGGCAGCATTCCACAGCACTGATAAAGGTGTGCTTATCTTGGGGAACTGTTTAAGATTAATTCTGGCTGGGAATGAAAGCAATTCCCAGCATTGCAATAAAATAGGTTTTGCTTTTAGAACAAGTTTGTGTTTAATTACGTTTGACAAAGCCTGGGTCAGAACAATAACATCAGAAACTCTGTCTTTGCACAGTTTTCCTACATTGCTTTTGAATAACACTGCATCTTTCTTGTTCTTTTAGATCATATTTATGGTTGGTCGGGGATATCTGTCCCCTGACCTTAGCAAGGTGCCAAGCAATTGCCCCAAGGCCATGCGCAGGCTAATGAGCGATTGCCTTAAATTCAGTCGTGAAGAAAGGCCTCTCTTCCCTCAGGTGAGACCATAAGGGATTTGGGATGTAAGATCCATCAGTCAGGGTGATATTTTAGCTGATGGCCAAACCAATCAGCAAAATATCATGGCAGAAGGTATCTCCAGCAATCTAGTCTGGCTAGATCCAATCTTGCCTGTTCCTGAAGATGTGAGGTAACTTTTGTCATGAAAGTCTGTAGACAAATCTTTGAAAGATAAGACAACTAATCATAATGGTTATATTCATCAATATATTATAATTTGACTTTCAATTGCTGGGAAATGCTAGCCAAAAATACTACTATTGCTCTTATCTCCTGCTTTGGTGGACAAAAGATATTGGCTGCATTAGGATAAGCCTTCAGGCTATTGCTGTACAGCTTTCCATGGAGTCTTATCCATCAAGTTAATGGAGAAATGCTTTACAGATAGTCCTCAACTTACAACAGTTCATTTAGTGACCTTTTGAAGTTACAACGGCACTGAAAAAAGTGACTTATGACCATTTTTCACACTTATGACCATTTCAGCATCCCCATGGTCACATGGTTTAGTTTCGAATGCTTGACAACTGACTCACATTTATGACGGTTGCAGTATCCCGGGGTCATGTGATTCCCTTTTGTGACTTTCTGACAAGCAAAGTCAGCGGGGAAGCAGGATTCACTTAACAACTTGTGTTTCTAATGTTAACAACTGCAATGATTCCCTCAACAAATGTGGCAAGAAAAGTCATAAAATGGCAAAACTCACTTAACAAATTGGCAACATCAATTTTGGGCTCAATTGTGGCCATAAGTTGAGGACTACGTGTATTGCATTTGTCCTAAAGTTGCTGATTAAATATCATAGTGTTATGAAAGAGAAAGATTCATTTTCCTCTCTTGAGCTTCTCATCTCCATAAATAAACTGCCACCGTATCTGACTTCACTTTCATGCTTTCGTCCTAGGACTTTTGATTCTGAGGCAGGCCAATGCAATTGCAGTGTCTCTGTGTTCTTTTTAACATGTAACTTCTTTCTAACAATGAACCAAAACTCCAAGATCACAGAACAATTAGAGACATAAATCACGCAGATCTTCATGGCATCATCATCTCCTTTTTTATGACTCCCCACCATCCCTTGCAGGATGGAGTCTGGGCAACTAAATGGAGCAAAGTGTTTATTGACCGGATGCCCTTCCTGTTGCCAATGCGGAATTTTATTCAGCAGATAAATTCTCATTGTGCCCAGAGAGAAATATCTGCTTCTACCTAGGATTGAACTCACAGCCTCCTGAGGCGAGAGCTCCACCCCTAGGCCACCACACCACTCAAAATCTTCATATAACAGATCTTCATCTAACGTACATCATTCTACTTCTTGGAGCTGTGGAGAGAAGGAAAAGAAATGAGAACAATAAAGTGCAGATTTACACATTTTCTCTCTTCATCTGTGTCACATAAAGAGAGACAAACTTCTGCTGAGTTTCTATGGCCTTCAAGCTCTTATAATTGTATTTTGTGCCTATTGAACAGCAAGCCCAAAGGATGGAATTTTGCTTTTCTGCCAAAAAAAAAAAAAGGTGAAAGGAAATTGAGATTCTGTAGATGGTCTGGCAGCTTTAGTACTATTGTTACTGGGTCACTTTTAGAGCTAGGCCAGTTCTACCTGTGATAGCATTTTGAACCCAACTCTGCTAAGATAGCATTTTGTGAGATGCTTGTTCTCTCTGTCTTCTCTTTCAGATTCTGGCCTCCATTGAGTCACTTCAGCACTCTTTGCCCAAGATAGAGCGCAGTGCCTCTGAACCTGCATTGCACCGTGTGGCCCACAACTGACCACTTTAGGCTCCGCAGCTGATGTGAATGCAGAGAGTGAGGCTGCCAAGGGCCATGCAGTCCTTGAGGCCAGTAGCTGCTGTGCTCAGCCTTTCCATAAAGTTGGGAACCTGGTGCAGTCGGCGTTGCATTCTCTTTTCTACCCCTATGGACAGAGGAAGTCCCACTGAGGAGTTTTGTGTGGCCTGATTTTTTATTCTATTCTTAGCCCTATGGCTTCAAGAAATTCCCAAACAGCAGCTGCTGTGTTGTAAAAAGCCCACCGTGAGGTGATGTGGGCTCCGTCTTCTCCAGGAGCACTTCTTTTAATGGGCTCAGCCTATTTCAGGAACTGTTGTTCATTTGTTTTGAAAGTCAGAAGAAAAGTGTAAAAAAGAAAAGTGATTAAAAAAGCAATAACAATGAAAGTAACGACAATGCGGGGTTTGTAGACATTCCTTATAAGAAGCAAAGTGGAGAATTATAAAGCAATAATATCATAGAATATTAAGGCCTTTCTGGTTTAGGGATTTCTTCTGTGTGTTCAGTCCTGTCAAATTACAGACTTAAGACTGCGTCAGCAACAAAATCTTACTAACCGGTTGCTTTGTTTCAAGAGCTTCTGGAGAGTAAAAATTTGCATGCTGCTAGAATTATACTGTAATTCTTGCATGCTGCTAGAATTCTACTGTAATTTGTAGGCTTTTGGTACCTTCAAAATAATTAGTGTTTCTGACTATTGCCCCCTAGTCCAAATACCTAGGCCTTTCATCTACATGCACATAAATGAAATAATAGTGAATGTGGCAATTACCGTGTTACCTCATTAAAACAAAATATCTGGTGCCATATGGTGATACTTCTCAGATCAGACACTGCTAAATGAAGTCAGCTGTCATACACCCTCTATATAATCAGTTTAAGAGCTGCTATGGTAACAAGAAAATAGGAAAAGAAATGAAAACATCTGAACAGCATGGGTGTTGAGAGTTTTGCTCAGACCTGCAGAATCTAGCAGCATTAAATGGAAATAAAAAGGAAATAAACCAGATGAAGCTATAGTAATGTGATGACCTGGGGCGTGGCACAAAGGCAACACAGTCAGATAAGCAATAAGAGTCCCTTTATTATCTCCAACTTTGCCCCCAATGTCCAGGTTACCTTCAGGCTGGAGAAAAACTCTTCCAGGAACAGCCTTTGACTATAGAAAATTCAGTCCAAAAAAAGGTGCAAACACACTGTAACTTAAAAGTCCAAAGAAACCAAACTGAAGTAATTAGTTTGGCAGGGCAGGAGCAGGAATTTCAGACTTGAAAGCACGGCAAAACTCACACAGTTGGGAAGACGCCAGGAATACAGATAAACCACAATGATACAAGATAAAATCACGTTTGCTCCCAACAGCCTGTTTCACTCAGCTTGCCTTTTTTATACACTGTATTCTCAGCTGCAGTGAATGAAGGGAATCAGGGCCCTTTCCTCCCCCGTAAGCCATGCAACCCACATTGCTCTCTTCTCTGTTCCTCCCTACGTGCCCTAGGATGAAGAGGGGGTGGGCCTGGGTCTTTCTCTGAATTCCCTCTCTCTTGTTCTACCTCTCTCCTGCTTTGCCCAGCTGGACTTTGCCCTTTCCCTGTTTCTTCCACAGCCAATGGAGCTACTCTCCCACTCCCTGTCAGCTGTTCAGCTTCCTCCTCCGAATCAGATTCCGACGGGAATGACAAGTAACTATTTAATAGTGAAATACCAAAAAGTACAATGCCAAAAGGGAAAGAAAATGATGGCGATTATGATGTGTTTGTGTGAATTTTATAGTATCCTTCCCCTGCCACACTCACCAAGCCATGCCCACCAAGCCACACCCACAGAACTGGGAGTGAAAAATTTTGAATCTCACCACTGATGGGGACATATTACCCTGCCAGTTCTTTGAGAAATCAAATGTGGCTAGTTTGAATGACAACTATAAACATCAAGGCAAGAGAAAATTTGGCAGAAGGTTTGAGGGGAAGCTTTAAATATCATCAGGGTACACTGGGAAACAAAAGTTTTCCTCTGGAGAAGGAGCCAGGAATAACAGAGAATAAGGTGAGGAAAAAAGAGCCACTTTCTTTTGTAACAAACTCTCTAGATAAACCAATGTGATATAGTGGGCACCAGATTGGAAGCTTAAGAGTTCTAGCGAAGCATCAAAACTAGCTGGTGACCACAAGTCGTTCACTTACTTTCAGTCCCAGGAAGAAGTCCATAGCAAAACATTTCTGGAAAAGCTTATCAGGAAAATACATGGAGTTGAAAATGAAGACACCAGCAAGGATGATTGATTTGAAGCTTATAAAAATAAAACAGCAGACAATAATTGTTATCCTAACATCTTCCTTCTTACCTCAGCCTTGTCTCCTCTTAGAAGGTGACTGTCTTTCCCTGGCTGGCATAGAAATCTCTCACGTTTTTGACTGTTGATGCATCTTACAGCCTAACTTTTCACTCTTCTCTACAACTCAGCATCTTGACCCTGCTAAGCCTTTGTTTCCCTGAAGAATGATTCACACAAGAACAAGGCTTTAAAATCTTCATCCACAGGATGAAGCCCCCAAGATCCTTCCGTATATTTTCAATTTTTGAATCATCTTCTGATTTCGGAATCTGCCTCATCTTCCCACTCTACAAAACTTCCCACTGACCTCTTTGCTGGGAGCAGTCAGCTCTAGAACATTTTAAACACCTTGGGTGTTCTCTCACTCAAGCCACTTGCAGAAAAACTGCTAAAGAAAGAAAGCATCACCTCTGCCCTAAGCAACTGGCTTCATAAAAGGCAAGAAATGGATTCGACAGAATCACATGGATTTTCCCTAGCTAGCTTCCTTGTCCTCGGGCTCTTGGGAAATCTCACAGATTCCTGCAGCTGTGTGCAGGGGTGGGCTGCGACCGGTACTCCCTGGTTCAGGCAAACCAGTAGCTAATTTTATGGCCGGTTCGGCGAACCAGCAAATCCCACCCCTGGCTGGCCCCACCCCACCCACCCCGCCCCATCCACCCCTGGCTGGCCCCATCCCACCCACCCCGCCCCTGCCAAGTAAGTGCAGGGCTCGTGAGGAGGCTCAATGAAGGTGAAAAATGGGCCTCCCAGAGGCTCTGGAAGACCAGAAATGGGCTCATTTCCAGCCTCCAGAGGGCCTCCAGACCCTAGGGAAGCCATTTTTGCCTCCTGGAGGTTGAGGAAAGCCTCTGTAGCCTGGGGAGGGCAAAAAATGGGCCTCCTGGAAGTTTGGGAAGGCCAAAAATGGGCCCATTCCTGACCTCCAAGGGCCTCCGGAGTCTGGGGGAGGTCATTTTTGCCCTACTGGAGGCTTGAGGAAAGCCCCCAGAGCCTGGGGAGGGTGAAAAACAGGCCTCCTGGAAGTTCTGGAAGGCCAGTAACAGGCCCACTTCTGACCGGGGAGGCTGTTTTTGCCCTCCCAGAGGCTTAAAGAAAGCCTCCAGAGCCCAGGAAGGGTGAAAACATGCCCACCCCCCCACTGTGGTACAGGAGGCCGATTTGGCCACACCCACCCAGCAACCAGGCAGATAACCGGTTGCTGAAATTTTTGAAGCCCACTCCTGTCTGTGTGCAATCATGTCTCCAGAAAGTATGTTGCACAATTAAGTTTGGTGAGTTTTGAAAACGAATGTTTTTCTCCCTTAAATCCCTCACTACTTCCCACTTCCTTAGTTTGTAGGTTTTGCTGCTAGCATTAATCCTTCCAATTGCAGCAAAATCATTCATATGGCGTGAATGCCAAACATATTACTTATATCAGAAGCTTTTGTTGAATAAGACTAACCAACACCGTTGAGTTTGTCCATACTGAGAATCTGCAAGTACCTCTTACAAGAAAATCTCTCTCTCTCTCTCTTGCTCTGTCTCTGTGTCTCCGTCTCTCCCGTGATGAGGGCCAAATTTATGAGCGTCAAGCCAGATCCTGAATCTCCATTGTTTTCACCCAGCTCACCCAAGCCTCTCCTCCTCCTCAAACATTATCAGGAACAAGTTTGCAGACATTCAGTCTTTTGTGAAGCAATATTACTCCTCTCATGACAAATTCTCCTGACCTACTCTTGTCCTTATCATATACTGAATTATCTTTCTTTCTGAAGATATAAAAGGGTCCAGAGAAACTAAGAAGTGTACAGTTTCTCTACAGCCCAGTCTCAGGTGCTTATTATGGATATGTACATAAAGGCCCTCACAAAGGAGAAGAATATGTATTTTCAAGTAGAAAATACCAACTAGGAGTCACAATTTGCCTTTACTCCATGTACTCCACTGCAAATTTCCAGTGTTGACATGTCTTGTGAAGAAATGGCAGCAGCGAGTTTGCAGAAGGAATTTGGCATTGATGAGGACCCTCCCCCCAAAAAACTGGTCATGTTAAGCTAGCGGCATCAAGTTATCATAGACCCATCTTGGGTACGGGGTCTTTTTTTTTTAGGAAGCCTGAGTGGATTAATTACCTAATTTATTATACCAGTGTAAAAAGATTGATCGTCCATCTCTTTTTAAATTTTGTTTCACAGGATCCAATACACAAAATAATACTTTCTGAGGAGTTAGTCATGTTCAGGTCATGAATATATCTGATATTTCTTAATACTGGAAACTATGGACTCTCCAAAATTAGATATTCCAATTTGTCATTAATCAAATACAAATAATTTATACTTCCATTTCACTTGTTCAGGTTTTTTTTTAATAAAAAACGAATTGTAGTTAAAAGCACTGAATTTCTTTGGACTCCTGATGTTCCAGGAGGCTGTTAGAAGTTCTGGGCCATGCTGTTCAATGAGTCTGTTTCAACTGCATATGTAGCTGTTATGTCTCACCTGTATGAAAGAGGTGAGAAGTCCAAATTCCAACTGAATACAAACAAGCAAGCAAATCCAGTAATTATAGAGTTAAATTCCTTGAGCCGATAAAGCTCTTGGCAAACTCACACACGCTGTCTGCCAAGTCTGACAAGAAAGCAGGAATATAAATTACACAAGCTGTCACAGAATACTTCGGAGCTCCTTGATAAGTAACATGTTGTCCCGAACAAAGCTCCCAGAGCAAACATGCCCACTTTTATTTCCTGTGGGGAATGTCAGTCCCTCAGCTCAGTCTCTGATTCGTCCCTTCTTTCTGCGTTGCAGCTCGCACTTTTGCCTGCGACGCTGCCTCGCATCAAGCCAGCATTCCTCTGCTTGATTCTCAGTCAGAGACTCTGATATGCCCTCCTCCTTTTCCTGATTAGCCTCAGGTCTTCCCTCTCGGTTATCTGCCGACACCTGAGGCACAATCAGGGAGGAAGGCATTGATGAAGAGGAAGGTCCTGGGGAGGAAGGCATTTCCAAATCCTCCTCTTCCTCATTGTCCGAGTCTTTGTCCTCTAACAAAGCAGGCTCAAACCTCAGAGCCACAACATGTAGCCATGCAAAGATTGTAGAAAATCGTCAACACAGAATCTCACAAAGCGTTAAAACATTTGAAATCAATGGATTTTGATCTCCTATTTGCCCAAGATTTCTAGCAAAACATCATCTCTCTTTTTTCAAATCTGGTTATTCCATAACTCCAAGTTCTCATATGATTTGGGATGAAAGTGTAACTGCTCATCTATTAATAAACAAATAGGTTTAGCAGCCAAGATCACTACATCCTGAAGTTTGCAAAAGTCTTGGACTTTTCAAACGAAGGCAAATATACATGTCCCAGGATCAATGTTTGAGGATCCAATCTGGGTCAGTCACTGGGACCACAGGTTTAATCTTTGGAGGTTTCAGACTCAGTTATTTTTTCCTCACCCCCCCCCCCATTGGACCGTGAAGAGTCTAGAAACACAAATGGCTGGTTTTTATGGTCAGTGTTAATATTACATTAGTGTAAGATAGGCTGTGTCCAAACTTGTCTTCCAGAAATCTAATCTACTCAGAAAATCAGAGAACTGCTGCCAGTTCTTGAAGAAATCAAGAGTGGCTAGTTTGAAGGAAAACTATAAACATCAAGGAAAGAAATTTGGCGGAAGGAGTGAGGGGAAGCTTTAAATACCAGCAGAATAGGTTAGAGACAAAATTTGCCTCTGGAGAAGAACCAGGAGTAACAGAGAATATAGGTGAGGGAAAAAGAGTCAATTTCTTTTGAAGGAGAGACAGTTTGGTATAGTGGGCAAGGCAGTAGGTTAAAAACTTCTAGTTAGGCATAGGAAAGGAAATGTATTATTTCTGATGTTGTGTCACATACAGTATATAGGAATGATCAACAGGTCTCTGACAATACATGATTCTTTATTTATACAGATGATATAGCAGTGACCACAGAAGGGTCAAGTTTCAATGAGTTAGTTGCAAGACTCATTGTAGCCCTTGAAAAATTAGGATGGTATTATATCCCATCAATCATATGCAGCCCAGTCCAAGCAAGACCCAAGTGTGTGTTTTTCCTCCTTGAAATCGAGGTGCAGGGGTTGAGTTGCATGGCAAGAGAAACAAATACAGCATTGCACTGCCCCAAAGTATCTCAGTGTGAGACTTGATAGGACACTTTCATTTAAACAACATTGCCTGAATACTAAGGCTAAATTTAGAGTGTGGAATAACATTATCAGGAATTATATACAGTATACAGTTTATAATATACAGTATGTGGTGCTCAGCCACTCACTCTTCAGACATCGGTTTTGGGCCTGTGTATTTCAGCAGCACAGTTGTGGTGGTGGGCAACCCACTTTTAGCCCAGTGCCTTAACCACGGCACCAAATTGGCTTTCCTATGGAGTGCCTCCACACACAGAGAGCCAGTTGACATTGCTGACAATGGAGCAGTGTGGATCATGTCAAGATGCCTTAAACCCACACCAATTGAGAAAGTGCATCCTCTTGTTGGTATTGCTCCACTGAGGATTAGGAGAGTAGTAGCAACAGATGGTGAGGGAACCAAAAGATCCCCACTATCCTCTGAATGAACAGGTGCCCCAAACTCATCAACTTAGATCTAGGAAGATTTTATGACACAAAGAAAAATGAAGACCGGCAGGAGCAAAAACGTATTAGAAGATGGAGGAGAGAATTCACAGAACAAGAAATAATGCCAGAAGAGAATGTGGCTGATGGATTTGATTGCCCTTATCTTACTTAAAGGACATTGAATAGGTGGAGAGTGGGAGTGCCTAAATATGAGGTCAATATCCTCAAGTGGGGGTTGCTGCAAGATAACAACATGCAATGCAAATGTTGGGAGATGAGAGTCTGGCCCAATTGTTGGTTTGTCGATAACTACCATTAGAGTATAGCCAAAGTGCTTTGTTTCTGACCAACGATAAAACAGAAACTGTGGCCTCATTTTGGAACTTATAAATAATAAATGAATGAATGAATGAATGAATGAAGAAAGAAAGAAAGAAAGAAAGAAAGAAAGAAAGAAAGAAAGAAAGAAAGAA